GCAGACGTGCTGCAGCGGATTTCTGCGTGGATGTCCGCGTGGAGTTCTGCCCGAAGCGGCGAGCGAAAAACGAAGTGAATTTCGCGTGGACTCTGTTTGGTCTTCATTCCTGGTCAGCAAAAAACCCGCGCGAAATTCACTTCGAAATCAGGAGCGAAATTCTCCAGGACACCCCAGGTTCACCCTATCGTTTTCCGAACGCAATCCGCTCTGCGATGTTGGCGTCATGAAGCGATGACACGGGCGAACCAAGGACAGTGCCACGCATTGCATCAGGAAAAGCATGAGAGAACTGCTGCGAATCACCGCCTTCTCTTCCAGGTGAACTCCTGCACCGTGTAATTGTCCTCCGTTTCTTCCTCCTTCTTCTGCCTTATCTCCTTGGGATTAGTCCGTATTATCGTCCTGCTCTTCCTGCTTCACTCCTCGCCGCTGCTGCTGGGACAGGGGAACGACAACCCCAGCACGCCTCGTGGGGGCCTTCGGAGGACCGCCAGGGCGACTGGCTTCAGTGAGCCACCCTGAAGCGCCGTGCAAAGAAACCCAGAGATCCACGCCCAAACGGTTTGGGGCCTGTGCCCGGATATCGTCAATATCAACACAAACTCGGAACAGTCTGGACCTGCGGTCCGCTTACGCTTGCCAGCTCACCGGATGTTGCCCGAAGCTGGGCGGAACGGGGGCCGAACTCCTGCGCACCAACTTCGCAAACTCCTCGTCGGGAGGATAGTTCGACACCTGCGGCCGCTGCTGCACAATACGAAGCCACACATGCTTTCTGCGGCAGTCCCTTGTATTTGCTTCTCCCTCCCTGTGTGCCCTGTCTTGACTCACGCCACCCTCTCTCTCTCTCTCTCTTGCTTGTTCTCTCTCTCTCTCTCTCTCCCTCTCTCTCTCTCTCTCCCTCACTCTTTCTCTCCCTCTGTCTCTCTCTCTCTCTACCTTCCCCTTTCTCTCTCTCTGGTCGTCGCTATCCCCGTCCGTCTTTGTACGTGCTCTCCTGGACACTCGTGAAATTACTACGTATGTCATGTATCGCGATATTTGGCGTGCGCGCATGCCTACGTGTGCGGGACTTGTGTGCAAATGCGTGTGCACACTTGATCGAAACACACGCCGCCGCATGATCTTCACTATAATGGGCAATCAGCTCACTTTCGTCACGGCCCTCTGACTCGTTCGGGTACTTCGCAGACCCGGAAGGAAGCGCGAAGAGGAATCATCACCTGGCACTGGCCCCCTTCCGCCCTGGCCCCGGCCCGCTCCACATCCACCCCCTGTCGGGTCGGGCGAAAGGGGGGGATAGCAAAGGGGGGGTTTGAGAATCAGCTCACGCAGCTGATTTTCCTGGCGCCTCCCGGCGCCGGAGGCGGCCATGTATCGAGGAATGGGCTCCTCGGTGAGGCCGAAACCAGCTGCATGCAGCAAATTTCGTAACCCCCCCTTTCCCAATCCCCCCCTTTCGCCCGCCCGACCCTTCCGCCCTGGCCCCGGCCCGCTCCACATCCACCCCCCGGCCCCCGAGACCCTTATCTTCTCTCGGTCGTCGTTCTTCGCCCTCTCCGCCCCTCGCCAGTCCCTCGGCCGCCCCCCCCTGGGCCCTGCCCCCACCCCACACTTGGGCGCCCGAGTTATCCGGGGTAACTCGGGTCCTGGGTAACTCGGGTTCGGATTCCCGAAAAACGAACCCGAGTTATCCCTGACCCGAGTTACCCCTGATGATTTGGGGCTCTGACACACGGCCCCGGCTCTCTCACACAGTCAGTGCTGTGTGCTCCCATGCCCATGAGCCGACAAGGGGCAGTGGGCACAGTAAGAGATAGGAGAGGTGCGGGAGTTCATTCGCCCGGCCCCCGAGACCTTTGCCGTCGCTCCTTCGCCCATAATTAATTACCCGCCCTCCCCTCCTCCTCCTCCTCCTCCTCCTCCTCCTCCTCCTCCTCCTCCCGGCAATTTCTCGGCCCCCCTGGCCCGTCTCTCCCCCACGGCCTCGGCGCTCTCCCCCCCCCTTGGGTCCTGAGGCCCTCCCGACCTCTCGGCCCCGAGGCTGTGACTTCTGCCGCTCGTTCGTCAGCGTTCGTCCTCCTCTTCTGGCCCGTCCTCGCCTTCCCCTGGCCGTGCCCCCCCCCTTCGTGGCTCGTCTTCCCCCTCTCGGCCGCCCCCCCCCCCTCCCACGGCCTCTGCCAGCGCGCACCCCGAACCCTCCAGGGACAGATCAGGGGATATGTCGACCTCTATCCCAGGCTCCGTGGTGTTTCCGAATGGACCAGAAATTTGGGGCCCAACCCTGGGATATACGATGGGGGGGGTGTCCACCCTCGATAGGGGTGCGTCCGACTAGGCCCCCCTTGGGGTGTATCCCATGGCTTTCCCAGGCTTCTGAGCGGCCAAACTTTCCGGCCGAATCTCGGGGATTGGGTAGAGGCCTCCTAGATGGGGTCGGAGTAGGTGGGGTCGGAGGATCGCGCCGCATCGCCGATACATCGGCGATGCATCGGCA